TACATAGTAAAGATGTAAACAGAGTGGTTCAGAGTGGTTTGGTGTGAAACGCTCTGTTCTAGAGAAACTTACAGAGTCAGAATTGTTCACAGTGGTGGTGATAGGAACCAGACGTCCACCTCTAAAAGCTCCCTCACAGAAAGTTACTACATGAAGTGGTTATGAATACATTGACTGATATCTGAGACACTGTTTTATGATTTATTGAAAAGAAAGTGTATTTTAAATCCAATCATGGTGGAGGGACACATGAAGGGTGTTGTGAGGCAAAATAGTCCCCAAAGAAAACGTATTTTTTTTAGATGAATATGTATTTTATCACCACTGTAAAGAAATCTGAACCAAAAAAATATGGTGGAATTACCCTTAAGACACACCATCCATTGTCGCTATGGGTGTGTTACATGCACATCTACTGTGTGAAAGGTTTTATAGACTGATTGTGTTAAACTGCAACAGCAACATTCCTTGAAGAACAAGTTCTTTGGTTCTGCTTTTAAGTGTACAGCCTTCCCAGAAGAGCAGAGGCTGTTAGTGTAGTAAAGTTTAATACTGATTTTAGGAGAAATGTTGAACTAGCAGGTGTGTGGATGAACAGGTAGTGTATGATCTGTGAAACTAATATTGATGTACTGAGTGAGCTGTTATGTAAAGTATGTAAAACTTGGAAATCTAATAAGAATTTGTCCAAAATAAATGAAGCTGGCATTTATGATGCTACTGGTGTAACTACAGACCCTCGTCCTTGTTATGTGTGATGTCAGAGAAGAGTAACTAAAGTGGTAGGAAAGTAAAGACACTGGCACAGCTCTGTTATAGTTTATTTTAGCTTAATGTGTTGTTTGCTTTGCTTGCATATACAGTAAAATGTATGAAGCAGTGAATTAATAAAAGGCATCAAAATTCCAAAATGGTCAGGTTAATGTCAAATATATCAAATAATAAAACTTTCAAAACAGATTTTTGGGATCTGTTGATTTGTTTACTTTTTCACTGATGTCAACAGAGATGTCAATCAAACTGGATGTGTAAGCCAGCAACCAGCCAGAAAAGCAAGCTGGAACATCAGAGAAACTGACTGTAATCAACAGACATTGTTGGTTGAACTCTTTAAATATTCCAGTCATTTTCTTAAATGTTCTACCCCAAGATCTTGAGGCTTTATACTGCAGATAAGCCCTCCAGCTTGCAATGTAACATAACAGCCATGTGTATTAAAATTCAGTTAAGGCATTTTGTAACCAAAATGTTTATGTTTTGAATATAATGAAATGGCAAAACTGATAAAAAGTAGAGATCAGATTTCATTATTTCATTAAAATTATCTAAACGTCTTTTAGATAAACAGATAAATGCTAATGCTCTTTTACTCTTAGCTAACATTACTGGCCTAATTGCAAACAAAGAGTTTGTGAAGAGGTCATCAGCTGATGCCAAACATGACAAATGATGTTGTGAATGTTTTATTTCATTGAATTTAATGGAATTCAAGAAATAATTAAAAGTAGAGTGTAAAAATGAACTTGAACTTGTTTATTAGCATGTTCACTGTGACCCATTCTGTGTAGTATAGCAGCACTTTGTACTGTCTCTGCCATGTGATGCTATGCGTCTAGCGTGCAGTGGCCTTATACAGTACTTAAACAGTAATGCACACTATATAAAACACCACACAGACTCTAATACACCACACAATGTTCACACACACACAAATACACAACCCAACCAACACACACACATACACATCACAGACTACACACTGAGCAACAGTTTAGGAACACTTCAGCAAACACCAAACAATACCAATGACCCAGCGCCCACATGGCAAACACAAACGCCCTAACAGTACACTGAACAGAACACATAGTAACATGAGAGAAACTAAAGAAGGCTCGTCTCCCCCTTCCCATCATCACCATGTTCTATAGGGGGTCCGTAGAGAGCATCTTGAGCATCTTGAGCATCGCGTGGTTTGGGAATTGCACCGCCTCCAACCGCAAGACTCTACAGCGCATAGTGAGGACAGCTGAGAAGATCATCCGGGTCTCTCTCCCCTCCATCATGGACATCTACACCACACACTGCATCCGCAAAGCCCCCAGCGTTGTGGACGACCCCATCTATCCCTCACACTGACTTTTCTCACTGCTGCTGTCTGGCAGGAGGTACCGGAGCATCCGTGCCATCACTGCCAGACTCTGCAACAGCTTTGTCCCTCAAGCAATCAGGTTTTTAAACAAGGACTGATCTGAAAGCCCCCCTCACACACATACTCTACACTCTCTCACACACACACACACACACACACACACACACACACACACACACACACTCCTCTTCTGATGCTCTTTGTACTATCTGGAACATTAGTGCTAATACAGTGTTTACACTTTGTTTACTCTAGCACTGTGTATTTCTACCTCAGTAGCTGCTGTGTTTATGTATGTTATCTGACTGTGTAAACAGATCACAGCATGTTAAATAATCTTTGCATCTTATTCCACAACCTCATCCTCAGAAATGAGTGCTGTGTCAGTGCTGCACTGTCCTGTCTGTTTACTGTGTCTAATGTCTGTTTAATTTATCATATTTATTGTATTGTTTGTAGTGTAATTTTTTGTCTGCACGTTGCACTTTGTACTTTTGTACTCTTTTGTTCCATGTTGCACCATGTTGTTCCTGGAGGAACGTAATTTCACTCCACTGTGCACTTGTACATGGATGGAATGACAATAAAAGCCTCTTGACCTTGACTACCTAGAATTACTATATAAACCCAATTAAGTCATCCAATTCAACTTTATTGTCGTTGTGCAGTTCAAGTGCACAGCCAAAGAAATGCAGTTTGGTGTCTGAGCTGAAGTGCAAATAATAGTAATGTCATGTATTACAACTATGTAAAGAGTCAATGTGCAGTAAAGTGTGAGGTTCAGTGATACTGCAATGATAAGAAAAGTGTAAATAAATAAATAAATAAATAAGTACAAATGGCATGATAAGAAGCAAATTTGAACTCAAAAACAACTAATAGTTATATACAACTGCTTTAATTTTTGCAATGTTATTAAAATTTGTTTACAAACACTGATTTTCTAGCTGTTATTATTATTATTATTATTATTATTATTATTATTATTGTTGTTGTTGTTATCAAACATGAAAGACAGTAAAGTCTGAGAAAATATGAGCGTTATTGTCAATACTTTTTTTGTAGTTCTGCCTGACATGTCCTTTTAAAATTTCAGTTAAAAGCTGGCTGTATTTTTTTATCTGGTCCTTATTAAGTTTTTACTCTACATGTGACCACTGAATATTTTGTGGGTATATACTTGAGTATATACTCGATATACTCATCATCAAGATGGCAGCTCTGTTGATGTTGTAGTGTGTGTGGTGAGAAGAGGGGAGTCAGTGGAGGCCAGGGAGACTGTATCTCACCAGGGGCTAGATGAGCTGTGGATCCACAGGGGGCTAGACTGAAGCAACTGAGGGCAGAGGTGCTGGAGAGGCAGGAGAGGCAGGAGGGAGCTGCAGCTGACTCCACATTACATTAGATTTATCTAGATTTATATTTAAACTTCCTTATCATACCTCCTCTTTGTCAACACTACATTATAATCTATGGTTATATTCATATATATATGTGTATGTCTTAAGCTTAAGCTAAATTCTATAATGATGGAAAATATTTTCATCTCAGGGGGACAGAGTGAACAGCTGTGCCATTTAGGAATTATTCCACTGTTATGCACCCTGAACAAACACTTGTTCATTCCAAGTATTTTTTGTGTTGAGTATTTATTTGCATATTTATGTGGGTATGTATTTGCTTGTTACCATATGATGCATGTTTTTAGGTTGAACCAGCTGTGCTATTTCAGTCCAATGTGCTAAAATAATTTTAAACACATAAATGTGAAATAATTTGAAATAGAAAACTACAAATTGTGCAATTTTGTTTAGCATTGCCATAAACTTCCAACCTGGGCAGTTATTCACTGCAAAATACACATACAAAAAAAAATGCTGCACAGTTTGTGTTGGTCATCCTCTAGTCCTTCATCAGTGGTCACAGGACGCTGCCCACAGGACGCTGTTGGCTGGATATTTTTGGTTGGTGGACTATTCTCAGTCCAGCAGTGACACTGAGGTGTTTAAAAACTCCAGCAGCACTGCTGTGTCTGATCCACTCAGACCAGCACAACACACACTAACACACCACCATGTCAGTGTTACTGCAGTGCTGAGAATGATCCACCACCCATATTTATATATATATATATATATATGGTCTTCTGATGGACTCCCATCTGTGCATGTTTGTGCACTGTGAACACATTACGCAATTTTGCGCAGACACTTCTGTTAAATCAAAGCTTTAAATGTATGCTGTATAAATTACAAATCAATAAAATAACAAATTTGGGAAAGGTGTAGCTTATGTCATGGTTATATAAAGCTAGATCAGCTCTTTAATTAAATATGTAAAGTTTGTTAACAAGTTGTACTACTTTAAAAATGAGATGCTAATTATCCAGTTGTAAAGAATTAATGAGTTAGTAATTGATTGAAGTGGTAACTGTGCTACTAAAATGGAAACAATAATGGTAAGTAAATGGTAAGTAACTGTAATTATACAGAATGAAATATATTAAATATATCAGTTGATAAAAATAATGTAATGAGTAAGTATTAATGTTAAAGTGAATAATAGTGAACAATGTCAATCATTTCATGTTTTTTTCATTACATTCATTGATACAAAGCTGGACATTTATTGGACAGTGTTCACAAAAGAGAACATTTCTTAGACTTGTTTTTTACTATACATTCTGAGGTAGTTTCAATTCACCACATTTAAGGGTTACTAGATTTGCACTTATTTGCACTGTCGGTTGACCCACTGAAGGGCCGATCACAGTAACCAAGTGTCATAAAAATGAACCTGCATTCATCATCCAGGCTGATCATCAGATGGTAAATCTTTTGCTTTTTCTAATACTGTATGGTAGTATATAGTTTACATGGTAGAACGGTATATAGAGGTAGTGCATAGTTTGAAGCTATGAAAATCACACAGTTAGAATTAAGTGACTGATTATGATCCCCTGACTACAGCTGTCCTATAAGCAGGACAATTCAGTGCAATTAAACAGAACAGCAACAAAGAGAGACATGAAAACCATACAAACCCACATACAAACAAACCTAATATATACTTTAGCCCTATTTCACTGAGGACAGCACATTACCATCACAATTCCCAAAATGTGACAGCTGGAAGAAGATTGGAGTATTATTGATTTCATAAGGTTTCGTATGAAAGGTAGTGGTGTAAGTTGTTTTACCCATCTCCTCACTCTTATTCAGTGTCTCCGTTTCTTAACAACCTAAAAGGAGAAATAGAACAACAGCATGAATGTTTCTACCTGAACTGAGATTCACAGTCTTTTTCCCCAACCGCTTTTTTCCCCCAAACCTCAAATGACAACCATTGTTTTTGAAAATCCACATTACAGCTGCAAATACTAAATACAGTTGACTTCATTTGGCACAGAAATGTCTTTAAGTAAGCCTTAGAGACCAAAGTGGACTATAATGCACTTCTGATTAATTATTTTACCCCAGTATTTATCAGAATATTAACTGCAATCATGTGATATTTCTGTAATGTAAAACAAACATTATTGTAGTGTTTTTTTTTTTGTTTTGTTTTGTTTTCTTTTCTTTTCTGAGAATGACCAGTGGATGAATAGATATGAATTAATAAAATGTAATGATGGGGGTGTGGTGGTGTCAGTGTTCACTGTACACACCTAATTACAGAATCATTTTTTAGATTTTTTCAACATAGAGATGAAAGGTATATGATCACCGACTACCACATGTATTGGTATTAAGATAAGATTAAATATATATCAAATGCATTTAGTTGTACTTAAGTACTTGGTAAGTCTTAGAATATCTACTAAAAAACCTCAAGTATTTAATTTGTAGACATAACTGTTACTACACTTGCAGTATATTATAAATATACTACGGGATGTTCCCATAAACGTCAGTGTTACTCATTAAACTATTGAGCAAATAAAATACACTTTAAATTAAATTTCAATTTCTCTAAACACACTTAAATACAATCATTATTTAAGTATTAAAGTGTATTTTTATAAACATAAGCACATAAATACAAACAAAACACATCTACTTCTGTAATTTATACTACTTATTTATATAGACCTCTATGTAAGTAATGTTGAAAGGTAGCTTCTATGCCTAAAAGTGCTTTTCTGTGCTAATTTTAAACAACTTGTTCTGCGATGAAATGAACTTGTTTCAGCGATTGTTCAGATAAATTCTACTACAATTGAATTATATTTTTAAATGTATTCTCTTGGTTGTACTGATACCCATATTTGACTTCTACATCATAAATTGAAAGTCATTACTTTATTTCTAGTATGTAAATGAAATAAAAAAAACATTTAACCTTCTCTCTACGATTCAAGAAGACTACTAATGAACTTAAAAGTGCTTCTTTTTCACAAATTAGACCATTCAGTGCTGTTTCAGAAAGTGTGCCAAAGCAATAGAGAAAAAACTAAAGCTAGGTTAGATGTTCATAAACAAAGCTCAGTGAAAATGTAATATAGAAACAGCTTAGTTTACCTATTAAAGTTTAGAGACTTACTGTGTCAACTCAGCATGAAGGCACTGGTCTTTTGAAGTTGTTGGGTAATGGTTCTGCCTCAAACGCTGTAAAACATGTTCAACATTTAAAGTTAAACACCTAAATATTCATAATAAAGTGGGCTAAGGAACACACAAACATAATCATCATAAAAGAGAAGTGGAAACAAAAATATATAGTAAAAGAAGTAAGAAAAGTGGATTAGAGCAAAAGGAGCAGGATATAGAAAGGACGACTAAGGAAAAAAAACAAAGGAAGAAAGGCAAATGAAAGATAAATATAGAAGGAAAAAGAATAGCGGAAATAAAAATAGAGAGAGTATATAAAAAAAAAGATATAAAGATAAAGAGGATAAACTGAAGAGAGAGGATAATGAAGACCAAACGGGGCAGAAATCTCCTCAGCTCCCTCCCCTGCTCTTCTCCCTCTCTCCCTCTTCTTCCTCTCCCTCCTTCTCTTCTCTCTTCCCTCCTCTTCCCCTGCCCTCCCCCTTCGCTCCTCTCCTTCCCCCCCCCCTCTTTCCTCTCCTCCCCCCCCCCCCCCCCCCTCCACCCGTCCTACTGCCGTCCTCACTCCCCTTCCCGAAGCCCGCTTTATCTCCATGCTCGACCCCCTTCCCTTCTCATTCTTATCCACCCTTTCCTCCCTCTTCCCCCTCCATTCTCTCTCCCCTTCCCTCCACCCCCCTCTTCCCCTGCCGATCACCTGACACAAAACAAACGCCTGA